GGGGGGGGGGGGGGGGAAGCAGCCTCTCCCATGCCCTGTGGCTGCTGCTCCCTGCTGCAGCCGCTCACAGCCCGCATGGGGCTGTCTGGAGCAGGCACAGGCAGCCCCATGCGGGCTGCGAGCGCCCACAGTGTGGGGCGGGCAAGGGACTGCTTCCTCTCCCTCCTGGTGCTCGGCTTTTCCCCAGGCTTCTTCCCAGCCTGGGGTCCCCCCCTTACCTGCGGTTCCCGTGCCAGGGCAGCCACGTGGTCCCAGGCCAGAAGCCCCTACTGGGACTTCCAGCTGAGGGGGCGGGGCCGGGTAGGCCCTGCTGTTGTGGGAGCTTGTCAGGCTTCCCCTGGGTCCCACTGCCCTTGGTTCCTGTCATTTTTGACAGGAACCAAGGGCAGAGAAATACTAACTTTCTAAATTTTTTAGGGGCCCCACAGGCTGGATAGAATGGCCTCACAGGCCAGTTGCAGCCTGCGGGCTGTATTTTGCCCACCCTGGATGTATTGTGTCCCTTTTTAAGAAGATATTTACTTACCCATTTGATATGTGGCAGATAAAAACCCCAGTGCGCGCTTAGTTATTTAATTGCAATAAAGAGTTCATCAATCAACAATGAGCCACTGAGAAAGAAACATGTTATGCAAGTCTGAGGTGTCTGTCCCACAGTGACATCAGGTTGAATCGATCTTCAGTCGAACATCAGTGAAATCACCTAAAACTTTGCAAAATGTTTTTTTCCTGAAACTGTTCCACGTTCAATTTTTCAACGATGACTAGATGTATACGGTGTAATTTCTTCTATGTTGTTATTTTAAAAACATGTGGATCTCTTTCTTGTAGTGCAAATCTAGTGAATGTTAACTAGTGAATAACTTGTTGATGTAGCTGGGTTTCCCTGTTGTCCAAATGGTTGTGTTCCTTTGCTCCTTTTAAGAACTCCACACAAGCTTAGAGACTTCTGAGTAAGTTAGGCAGTTGTGCTGTCTTAAATCTGTTTACTGTGAGAACAAACACTCGCACCACCAATTTATATCAGCACTGACAACTTTTGTAAGGATGAATTACAAATTACTTTTTTTTCTTTTTTTGGTTAAATACCTCTCTCGTAAAAATACAGGTTTGAATAAAGCCTATCGCTTTGGCAACCTTTTCAGCAGTACAGCCTGTATTTGAAGCAGGTAAAGCTCTGGACCTTGTATTTCAGAGCTCTGGAGGAAATCTGCTTACTGAGTATCGCCCAGCCCATGAGTAAAACTTCCTCTGATGGTTCCCTTTATCCTCTCCCGCTTATATGCACGCCTTTCTCAAATTTTCCACAACTACTTCTTTTTCAATTGCTCTCAATGTAAGATCTAATTGTGTTTGCTCTGAAGTCAGTGGCAAAGCTTGCACTCAATTCAATGGTAGGTGGATTTGTGGCTTTTACTTACCTATGAGAGCAGCGTTGTGTGAACTTTTGAAACAGTTTCCTCTGTCTCCCGGACATTACCTAATTCCTCAAGTGGAACTCCCTGAACTCTCTTATCTTTGCTAGGTTGCTGTCTGCATTGTTTTTAAAATAGCGGCTTCTAAAGTTGCCTTTTTAAGCTGCATGCTTTGCAGGTCGAATGTGATTTAGTGTGTTACAGTGGGGGGTGGGCAGGCAGTCTTTCCATTGACATCAGTAGACTCTAGGTCAGGCTTCTCAGTCTGAGATTAGTGATCTGTCTTAACATCTTATGGCAGCAACTTGGTTCAGAGGTATAACACACAGAATAGTGTTTACAAAATACTAGAAAATGGTGGCCCAAATGAGAGAGTTTGACCATGTCCAAAATCCAGTTCAATTCATAGACAATGAATCGCAACTCAACTGCAAGAAAATAGGCTAAATGAAAGGGGAGTCAATTCTAAAATCATGTTTCTGTGTGTGCATGTATGTACACATTCTGTGTATGTGCACACTCTTATCAATCATAGTCAAACTTACTAAAAGGGGGAGAGATTTGGGGTTTTTAAATTTTTTTTTTTATTTTATTTTATTTTTCTTAAGTGAGGCTGCCTTTGGAGGTAGTCATTAAAAACAATGTATACCCTATTTTGGATCTGTTGGTTTAGGAGTAACTTTACTGAACAACCTAAAGATCCCTTCTTTCCCATATACTTAGTAAAGCCTTCTAATGAAAAGGAACTGTAGTCCAGTGCTTGCTATCAGCTTAAGCACAAGTTTCTGCTTTGCTTTTCTTGTGAGACAGCTGATTGTGACAATCCCTTTTTACAAATAAATGTAATGCAGATTTGTGTCACAAAAAACTGCTGTCCTACTTAGTTTAGTGGGACCAGGGAGTATCATCTTCATTTTTGTTTTGTTCGTAATTTTTTAAAAAGTGCTAAGCACATCATTGACACTTAATGGAAAAGTTAGTTTCTCTTTCAACAAAACATGGTTTTCACCTGGCAAAAAAAATGCAGTACTAGATCTAAAAATATTTTGAATTAATGTAGTACTACTTTAAGCCAGGATCTGTCAGCAGACATCAGCTCTTGATAATTAAGTCACTACGGAACTACATTTTCTGTAGGTGTGTGTTTACTGTTGCCCTTGCACAGATTTACCATGTTGTTATGATTATAAGTCAGTCCTGCACATAGTCAGCACCATATTTTCAGGTTCAGTTTTAGGTGGCACAGCTTTTTCTTTGAATACAAGTCAGTAACTACAGCTGAAGTCCGTGATCTGCTATTACCCTTACAAAATCCTTTGGAAAATTTGGAGCACCAAAGAGTGGACCCAAAGGACAAAATGCTAAAAAATATTCTAAAAATAAAATGGCACTGAAGGAAAAAAAAATTCTGGTTTTTTTTGAGGTGTTTTTTTATTCTGTGCTCCAAAACTGCAAATGCAAAAGGTGAGATGTGAAAGGGGGCCAAGTTATTGGTGATTTATTTTTATAAGTTGATTATGATTTTTTAATAGTCCTTTTAAAGGGGAAAAATAAATGACTTATAATTGGAACAGTATGCTGTAATCCTACCATTGCACTTGCAGTGTGTGAGAGAGAAACTGTTCCACGTGAAAAGAACCCACGGTCAAAGGGGGAAAACTTTCCAAGGCACAACTTGGATTTCAGTGTTTGAGTTCCAGTTACTTTCAGTGAGTCTTGCACAGTTAAGTGACTCCTCCAAGTGGTATATAAAAGCACAGAAAGCCAAAAAGTGCATGGAGGAGAGCAAAGATATGTCACATTTAGTGAAATTACATCATACACATTTGTGATTTATATAGCTTCAGCTACTTCCACTCACCCCCCCCCCCCCC